GTGAACCTATATGACAAAGTAGAACTGGGGGAGTCTTGATGTGGCGCTATGGGACTTCAAGATCAGTCTTAACTGCAAGCTTCTTGGTTCAGATTCACCAAGCTACTCCTTGGGAACCCTATACTAAGAGTTGGAATCAACTTGACAATTTTTGTGGGAGCTGCTGGTTACGTTTGAACTGTTAACCTTTCAGTTAATAGCCAACCGTTTAAGCCATTACAGTACTAGGGTGTCTTATAAATAAAGGCGCCTGGTATTAATTTTATAGTCTGTTGACCGTTTTGGGATGAACATTGCTGTTAGGTGCCATCGAGTCAGTACTGACTCATAGCGACCTTATGCACAGCAGAACAAAACACTACCCGATCTTGGGCCAACCTCACTATCGCTGCCATGCTTGAGCTCACTGATGCTGACACTTTGCCAGTCCATCTTGCTGGGGGGTCTTCCTCTTTTTCTCTGACCTTCCACCCTACCAAACATGATATTCTTCTCCAGCCACTGGTCCCTCCTGACAATATGTCCAAAGTATGAGAGACGAAGTTTGGCTATCCTAACCTCCAAGGAGCATTCTGGCTGCATTTCTTCTAACACAGATCTGTTGGTTCTTTTGACTGCCTATGGCATTTTCAATATTCTTCAACACCGTAACTCAAAAGCATCAGTTCTTCTATGGTCTTCCTTATTCACTGGCAAGCTTTCACATGCATATTGTTGTTAAATGCTGTTGAGTCGATTCCGACCCATAGCGACCCTGTTTAGGGTTTCCTAAGAGCAACTGGTGAGCTTGAACCACTGACCTTGCAGTTGAAATGGCTTTGTTGTCTGGTGCATTAACCCACAGCGCCACAGGTTATGGTGCACCTTAGTCTTCAAGCTGACATCTTTGCTCTTCAACACTTTAAAAAAGGTCTTGTGCAGCAGGTTTGCCTAATGCAGTACGTCCTTTGATTTCTTGACTGCTCCTTCCATGAGTTTTGATAGTTGATCCAAGAAAAATGAAGTCCATGATAACTTCAATCTTTTTTTCATTGATAAGACTGTTGTTTATTGGTCCAGTGGTGAGGATTTTTGTTTTTACATTGAGATGCAATCCATACCGAAGGCTGTGCTCTTTGATCTTCATCAGTAAATATTTCAAGTCTTCCTCACTTTTAGCAAACAAGGTTGTATCATCTGCATATTGCAGGTTGCTAATGAGTCTTCCTCCAATCCTGATGCCACGTTTTTCTTCTTATAACCCAGCTTCTCAGGTTGAATATGTATGGTGAAAGAATGCAACCCTGGTACACACCTTTCTTAATTTTAAACCATTCATTTTTCCCATATTCTGTTTGAATATTGGTCCATGTACAGATTCCTCATGAGCACAATCATGTGTTCAGGAATACTCATTACATTGCTGGTAATTATTATAATTATCAAATATGAACATATGCAGACTTTCAAGAAAGTTTAGTACACATATGTAAAAATACCAACCACATTTCTATAAAATTGCTAATTATATCCAGGCAGTATGATTATTTAAAAAAAAAAAAAAAAGGTCCTTGTATTTATAAATATGTTTAAAATGGTGGTAAAAGGAAAACTTATCCTCATTTGAATTTAAGTAAAAAAGTAGTTACTAGAGTTCCAGTTCATACATACACAGGTTTATTCTAAAGTGTTTAAGGTGCCTTGGTGGCGTGTAAGATAAGCACTGGGCTGCTAACCAGAAGGTGTTGGCCGTTTAAACCCACTAGCTGCTGTGTGGGATAAAGATGAGGCTTTCTGTTCTCATAAAGATTTACAGCCTTGGAAACCTTATGTAGGGTCATTATATGATTTTAAGTTCATGTGATAAGCCAAGAAAATATTGTTAATAGGGTTCCAGTTCATATATGCACAGGTTTATTAATTTTTTTTAGTGTTCAAACATGTCTTTAATTTAGTGGATGCCTGCAGCCAAGTGTTCTTGGTAATGACACTGTAATTGGTCAGGCCTATGGTATGGCGCTGCAGGATAATGTCCTGAACCAGAGAGTCAGTTCAGCAAGGTTGGTGATTCAAATCCACCAGCGGCTCCTTGGATACCCTATACAAGGTCACTGTGAATACGAATCGACTCTTACCAACAACACACTCCACTTGAACCACATGCATTGTTGTTGTTTTTAAGTACCATGTAGTCGATTCTGACTCTTAACAAACAACCCTGCACAGGGTTTCTGAGGCTGTAAATCTTTATGGGAGCAGAACTGCTGGTAGTTTTGAGCTGCTGACCTTGAGGATGGCAGCCCGACTATGCTACCAGAGCTTCTGAACCACATGCATAGAGGATGAAAAATTGGAGGGAGGGGAGTTACATGATTTCCTGAAGCAAATATAATGAAACGGTAATTGAAGCAAGTTTGTATGCTGGACTTCGTAAACAGAGTTTAATTAGTGGATGCTGCTGTAGCACTTACTGCTTCCCTAGGTGGAGACAACTTAGAAAATTTCAAAAAATGTCTTTTGTGTATTCTAGAGGATTGCTTTTCTTTTTTTCTCAGGCTTTTGAATGCCTATGATGAACATCAAACACTCCTAAAAGAACAAGATTCTTTAAAAAGGAAAGCAGAAAATGGGTATGTAACTTCTTGCTGAATCAAGGATGCTTAACAGAAGACATTAAGTAAAGATCTTTCAAGACATCTTCAGATGTCACCTCTAAGATAAAAATTTTTTTATTATTAATGACTAATATTAAACTGATTTAAGAGTAATTATAAACTTCAGAAAACAAATGTACACAGATGACGTTCAATTGCTAGAGTACATAACTCTGGGACTTTTAAAAGTTTATATTTTGATCTTTTATTTATAGATCAGATGTCACCTCTAAGATAAAAATTTTTTTATTATTAATGACTAATATTAAACTGATTTAAGAGTAATTATAAACTTCAGAAAACAAATGTACACAGATGACATTCAATTGCTAGAGTACATAACTCTGGGACTTTTAAAAGTTTATATTTTGATCTTTTATTTATAGATCAGAAGAACCAGAGGAAAAGAAAGCACACACAGAAGATACAACTTCATCATCTACACAGATGATTGATGGCGATTTACAGGCAAATCAAGCTGCATATAATTATAGTGCCTGGTATCAAGTAAGTCCACTTAATTATGAGTATTTTGTTCATAGATACTAAGAACATTGTTGTCGAGTGCCCTCGAGTAGGTTCTGACCCACGGTGACCCTATATAGGGTTTCCCGAGGAGCAACTGATGAGCTTGAATTGCTGATGACCTTGCGGTTCAAACCAACTGTGTAGTCCAATGCATTAGCAAACTGTTTGTTCTGATTATAAAATGCACTTTATTCTTGTTGGATTCCTGTGGTGTGGTGCTGTGGGTTAATGCGCCAGACAGCAAAGCTGTTTGAACTGCAAGGTTCGCCGTACAAGCTTACCAGATGCTTCTCGGAAACCGTTTACAACAGGGTCGCTATGATAACAAGTATGCTTGTTGTCTTTTGAACTTCAGCTGTGAACACATTTAATTTCCTTAACCACACCTGTGCCTTAATTATATATTTATATATGAAATACAGCCATTCATTAGCTCTAATACGTTAACATGTTCACTTTTTTCTTTCAGTACAATTATCAGAATCCTTGGAATTATGGACAGTATTATCCTCCTCCTCCAACCTGATGGGAAGATGTGTGAATTTCAGATGGAGTGTGTGAAAAATGAAACTATTATTTTTTAGTCAGGGATGTAAACAAAGTATAAGCTTGCCATATTTGATAACCCGTCTTCCTGTTTCTCTGTAACATGATTTGTTTAGTAATAGAGAAAATGTCACTTAGTAAGTTACCACAGATAGTATTTCCTACCATTTATAAAATTTACTTTTTATTGGAGAACTATCTTTTTTATTTTTTCATTAAGTGGTCTAGAATAATTTTGAATGCATTTACAACTGAGTTTTGTAGCCTTAAGGTTAGGAAAAAAAACAGACTGCAAATCACGTCAGTGTAGGACAAGATTCTGAAATATAAGGGCTGGTTAAGGATTTACCTCCTCCTGTTAAAAAAAAAAAAGAAAACAAAACTGATTTTTAACATTTGCTGACAGTGGGTTTGTCTCTGTGTTTCAATTTTCCGTGTTGTGAATTTGGATCTAATTGCAAAAAAATGTACATTTATTAAAATACTATGCCTTGAAATATTTCGATTGTAAATGAGAAAAAATGGTTTGCATCCCTTAAAAAATGAAGAATCATATTGCTGTTTCAGGAGACTTTGTATTTAGAATATTCATGTAAAACTTTTGAGCAAGCTTTCATTTTGATCAAACTGATCATCTTCATTTTTGTAATAAAATTGAAGACTTATCCAGTAATTGTTTATGAATTTATTTTAGTCACCTAATAATAGTAACTTTTATTTACCATATTTACTATCATTAGGGTTTACTGGTTTTGAAGTACAGGTTCCCTGAATTCAGGGTACAATGCCAAAATCTTTGTTTTGAAACTATTTTCTCTCAAACATCACTGTCTTATTATTAAATGGAAATATACATTTAAAAAATTCAAAGATGCACATCCATGACAAATCCTCAGTTTAAACAATGTTATGAGCTACTTGTGTCTGATAAGGAAGGTGCATGCTTAACTTAATCAAAACATTAATGTATTAACACAGAACAAATCAGTCAAATTCAAGATAGTGGATAAGTTTGTATTGAGCCTTTTAGATTATAACATGAGATACAACGAAAATCAATTCCGTTTAACCATATTTTACAGTTGTAGTAAAATATTTAACACTTCAAGGATTTATAATGAGATTACATTCCTCAAAAGTTGAGCATCAAGTAAACAGGATTTAATGAAACTCCTTGAATTTACTAGTTGACTCCTCCCTCAAACACAAAAGTAACCAGTTCTAATTAGTTACATACATAAGTTTCTTCAAGTTCAAACCGACCTTGTCTTTAGACCTTGAACTGTTGCCATTTCAATCAATATCCACTAATTCTACTTCAAAAATGAGTTTTGCATTTGGTGGAATTCTGTTGACGTTGTCAAGGTAAATTTGATTTAAAAAAAAAATTGCCTTCCTCACCTCATCCTTAAAGTTAGAATTATACATACTGGATACAAGTCATTAACCCTGATGGTAGTTTGTAGTTAATTCAGAGGATAATAAATACTAACCTGCTACTGAGTGTCATCTCCTTCCAGTAGAGTTTCTGAGGCTGTACATCTTTGATAGCAGAAAACTTCATTTTTCTCCAAGAGCAGCTAGTGGATTTAAACTGCATGTTTTGTGGTTAGTAGCCTTTAAGTGTGGAGTCCTGGTGTGGCGCTGTGAGTTTGAACTGCAAAGTCAGTGGTTCAAACTCACCAGTCGCTCCTCAGAAACTCATTATACAGGGTCGCTATGGGTCAGAACTGACTCAACAGTACTTGACAACAAGCCTTTACATGTAACCCACTACATTACCAGGGTTCCTTAATACTACTCTATTGTTAAGCGCTGTTGAGTCGGTTCAGATTTGTAGCAACTCTATGTAGGGTTTCCAAGGAATGGCTGGTGAGTTTGAACCTCTAACTTTGTGTTTCAAACTGACCTTGTGGTCCAGTGCTTTATCCCTTGACACCACACCACGAATAGTAATCTAGAAATTCTCAAAAGTATCTTTGCAAAACAAAAATTATCTTTGAATGTCTTTTAATGGAAAGGGGAAATCATCATCTGGGCTGATCAAGTTGAGCTTAGATTCCTACCTGGAGGCCTCATTATACTCCTAAATTAATCCCTCACTTAAGTGAATGAAGACTAATACTCAGTACTCAAAAGAAGAAAAAATTCCATATAAGTGAGTATTGTTGTTAAGTGCCATAAAGTTTCTGAGGAGCAGCTGATGGATTTGATCTTCAAACTGACCTTGCAGTCCAGCACATTATCTTGCAACAAACACCACTACATTAATTCAAAATTTACATATCTTAAGATGCTAAGTTTACACAAGTTTGTGTTTTATGTATGTTACAACTGGCTATTAATTTTGATGATAAAGGGGACTTAATTATATTCATATTGAATATAAACTAATGAGACTACAGAGAGGTCTTACAAAATGAACAAGTTAAAAAAATTAAGTCTAATTGATCCAAGTAGTCCAACAGGAATGAAACCAGTAATGGCTATAAATTGTCTTCCCATACAACCTATTGATCGTAGATTAGAGTTCACACTATGAGTTAATCTTCAAATCTCAATGCAGAAATAGAAAAGGTATTTACAGTTTTATGAGTAAGTCAGAAAGCATTGCTACAAAATCCTAAGAACCTTTACTAAATAAAAATATCTAAATGTGAAGATATTTTCGACATAAGGTCTCTTCTAGCTAGGTCCATACACATCTGAAGGTGATGTTTCGAACTCTCTAACCCTTTCCTGACGAATTCTGAGTTCGTAAATTTACGTGTCAAAACAAGTTCTGGCATTCTTGAGGACTCATCATGTTCCTTTTCAATGTCTTTTGGAACATAAGTCAGAAGGGACGGTATCAGGGCTATAGGGTAGATGGGGTAAAGTTTCCTAATGAAATTTTCCTAGGGCAGTGCTTGCTACCCGTGAAGAATGAACAGGTATTGTCAAAATAGTTAATAAAAAAAAAAAAAAAAAAATCTCGATATAACTTTACTTTTTTCTAACAGACTTTTTAATTTTCTTAGAATTTAATAAGTCCCCATGTCCTTCATGATATTCTATCACGATTACCCTTTTGGAGACCCCTGGAATAGCCATCATAATCTAACCTCTCTGCCTTGAATTTAACTGGGGGTCACAGTGTGGCACTGTAGGATAAGCACTGGACTGCTAACTGCAGGCTGGCAGTTGAAACCTACCAGCTGTTCTCAGAAACCTAAACAAGGTTGCTATGAGTCAGACATACTCGATAGCACATAACAAATACCTCCTGGAAGGCACTGTTTTTATTGGACCTGTATTTTGGAGACATCCTAATGAGACTCAAAATGTATTAATGATAGAAATTGTCTGCAGCCATCCACTAATCAAAGACATTCTTAAGCATGTTTTATTTGGAATAAATATGTGCATGTATAAACTAGAACCCTAGTAGCAATACTTTCTGACTTACCTTTGCAAATTTACAAAGTATTGATACTGTTAAGTGCTGTTGAGCTGGTTCCAACTCATACCGACCCTAGAGTTTCCGAGGAGCAGCTGGTGCATTTGAACTGCTGACCTTGCAGCTCACAGTGACAATGTGGTTCAGTGCATCATCTTGCAGTGCCACACCAGAACTCCAATTAAATGTTGTTGAGTCCTGGTGTGGCACCGGCACCCTAGGTTGCTATGGGTTGGAACTGAATCAACAGCATTTAACAGCAACTTAGTATTTACTAAGTCCTGGTGTGACACTGTAGGCGGAGCGCTGGACTGAAAGGTCACTTTAAGCTGCAAGGTCAGCGGCTCAAACTCAAGAGCCCATCCTTGAAAACCCTATACAGAGTTTCTATGGGTCAGGACCGACTCAAGGAATGGCTGGTGAACTTGAACCACCCATCTTGTGGTTCAAAACGACTTTGCAGTCCGGCACATTAACCCACAGTGTTACACCAAGACTCCAAAAACAAGCTACCTCATAGTTTACTGATGGTATTATAAAACCTCTACATTGTGGTGCTATGCGATAAAGCACTGGACTGTTGACTGCAAGGCTGACGGCTCAAATCCACCAGTTAATCTTCAGAAAACCTATACAAAGTTGCTGAGTCAGAACTGACTAGAAGGCACTTATCAAAACAGCAAACAGCCTCCCCCTCCCTCTTGCCCCCATCAGTGTTCACAGATTTTGGGTCTATCACATTAAATATTGTCATTAGTAGTATTTACTAATGTTTGTTACTATGTTGGTCTTGGATCACTAGGTCATCATGACAAGTGGCTTGCACTCAAACCCACTCAGAAGAAAAGGACTGGCAGGCAATATGCTTTTAAAGCACATCCAAGAAAATCCTATAAAGCACTTCTACTCTAACACATGCAACCCCTGTGAGTCAGAAGGGCTGGCCGGCAACTAACAAAGTTAGTTATGGCATCACCCGTTTCACAAATGATCATCCCCAATGGGTGTACTTTCCTACGCCCCGACGAGCTCAAATGGTCTGAAACGACACTATACTTTAAAATGAACAAGAATCATATTTCTATCTGAATACTCTTGCTACAGCTGTCTGTATAAGGCATCTTAATGAAATAAACCTGTTAAAAAATAAGAATTGCCTTTGAAAGATGAAAATTTAAAACTTAAGTCTTGATTTAAATTAATAAAACCTGACTAAAAGATGATTGCAGGTCACATTTGACAACAGTGAACCATTAAAAAATACTATTGTCTATATGGAGTCCTGGTGTGGCACTGTAGGATAATGCACTTGACGGCAAGGTCAGTTTGAACCACAAGGTTTACAGTTCAAACCCACCAGTTGCTCTTTGGAAACCCTATGCAGGGTTGCTATGAGTCAGAATAGACTTGACGGCACTCAACAACAATGGTATAAATGTAGGGCTGGTGTGGTGCCGTAGGATGAGCGCTGAACTGCTAACTGCAAGGTCAGTATTTAAACCCACCAAATGCTCCTTGGAAACCCTACACAGGGTCACTGTGAGTCAGAACTGATTCAACACTACTTAAACAATTGTTTGTCTCTATTGACGGTGTTAACACAAAACCATCTATGTCAAGACTAAATTTAGACTGGATTGATCAAGAGGTTAGCCTAGACAACATCTGTGATGTCTTCAGTTTTTTCTTTAATTATGAAGGTAAAAGGATACTTGGCATCAGGCTGTCCTTTCTTTCCATAAGCCCATTCTGGTTCAATCTCTAGTCGAGCCTTTTCTCCCTTACTCATAGTCAAGAGTGCTTCATCCCACTAAAGGCAAGAACAGAAAATAAAAGTAGGATTGAAAAAAAATACATGCAATACTAGAAAAGAGTAAAGTTCATGTAGTAAAAATATGCATTATGTTACTGAATTTTTTTAATATCTTAGTGTTTTATTGTGTTAGTCTAAATCTTTGGCCCCATTGTTCTTATGGAATAAAATAAGGCTGTTAAGCAATACTTTCTCAGTGTAATAGCCAAATTCCTCAGACGATATATCAAAGCATATCTGTAAACTGTAACATGTCATAAATTATAGAAATCAGTTTGTCATTGGCACCAAAAAACACTACACTGTTACATAACTAGAAACCAGCAAGTAACAATGACCTAAGATTATCAAACTTTTATTAATAGTGAAATCATCACTGGTAAATAAGATGAAAATGATAGAGCTGCTAGAGTTGTTCCACTAGTTCTTCCCAAATGTGGATCTTCAAACCAGTTATTAAAAAGTTAAATGAATGTGATGGAAGCACACAGAAATGAACTGCTATATACCTTGCTGAGATACAGCAATCACATAAAGCTCATGGTATAATTAGAAATTTATGTAAGGTATACCTGTCTCATACTGGAAGTTAAGAATATACTTAACCAGAAGAGATTTACCTGTATACAAATGAGTTATAGAAATGGAAAGATCACTTTACTTGATATATTGTTGCTATCACCTTGGTAAAGAGCCCTTGTGGAGCTGTGGGATAGGTACTGGGCTGCTTGCTAACTGATGCTCCACAAGAGAAAGATAAGACTGTCTGCTTTCATGAAGATTAGTGTTGATTTGGATTTTTGAGTTATCATATTGGTATATTTATACTCAACTAAGTCTTTAGTTTCAAGAATTTTACTTCTATACTGGGCTCTGGATATGGAACCATTTTATTTATTATAAATGTTTTATTGTGAATTATGTGATAGTTTACATGGGAGAACATTAGTTTTACATTCATTCTATCATGTATCGTTTCACTGCCACGATTACAATCCCCTCCATGCATCATCAACCAACCAAAGGGTATACCCTGCAAGCTGCCCCCGCCCCGGGAAACCATTGCTTTAGTACTTACTCAGTATAATGAGTAACATGTTGAAAGTTCTTACAACTCCATTTAAATAAGGATTTCATTTACCAGTATTTGATGTTTAAAGTAATTATAATTGAAAGCAAATTATGAACTGTAGCATGCAAATTTGGTTCAGAGAAACTGACAATCAGCCTTGTTCTTTTACCTCCTTTGGTATACTCTAATGGACACTATTGCTAAAGCTCTGTTTCCTATAACTGGCCATATCTATAGCACCAACATATGTGAAGGTGGGGGGAAAGCATGTTTATATTTGAAAGGTTTTCTGGTATTTGAGGCGAGGCTGTGGGATATGAGAAGGCCATAGAAATTTCTGCATCTATCAGTATTTCGGTAAAATACCTATTACCACCTTTCCAGATCAAGTGGCTCAACTGCTTTTTAACATTATAAGAATCTTAAAATAGTGACAAATTTAGCAAACAATCTGATAAAGAATTACTTTATAAAGAAAAAGTAATAAAAGGGGAAGGCAAAGGAGGAACTAATATTTGTTCCGAGTATATTAAATGGAACCTGTTGCTGTTCAGTCAATTCTGATGCACAGTGATCCTATAGGGCAGAGAGCTACTCCAGTGTTTCCAAAGCTGTAAATCTTCATGGAAACAGATCACTCATCTTTTTCCTGTGCAGTGGCTGATGTGTTCAAACTGCTGATACTCTGCTTATGAACTGAGCAGTTAAGTACTGTAATGCCAGAGCTCCTTAAAATTATGTTTCCTTATTCTTGTAACAATCCTGAGGTGGACAGTACTGTCCCTGTTTTATAGATTTGGAAACTGAGGTCAGAGAACTGAATTTCTGTCAGATCACATGGCCATCAAGTAATAGAATTTGAGTTTTCAGACTCCAAAGACTTTTTTTTGTTTTCTATATTCCCAATCTTAGTTCTTTACCGCACCATACCACAACACACATGTTACTGTCATTTCTTTACTTACTCCTCTGATGACTTTGCCAACTCCAACCTTAAAACTTAAAGGTTTGGCATTTTTCTTCTTCTTGGAACCTGTAAAATAGATTTTCCTTACAGTTAATACTATACACACTGTTATGCCTTTTCTGTGACAATACAAAAGCTTTGTTTTGGGAAGCTTTAAACTTCTCTTTATTTTTTGCTTTCCAATGGCCTAGAGTTTAGTAACTCAGTCAGCGTAGAAAAAACTGAAGACCTGTTTCAGTGTAAACAACTTCTGGTAGAAAGTAGGTGACAGCCAAGAAAAAAGCACTTGTCAACCACTTAACTATTACAGAAATACTCTGCACTGTCTTGAAGTTAAAAAGGAAAGATTATATTCAGACTTACTTGTTTGAATATTAGTATCAAAAACAGTTCCGTCCTGAAGCGTTCCTGTGTACCAACAGTGAACAACATCTCCCTTTTTGGGAAAGTTGGTTTTGTCTCCCTTTTTAAGAATAGATTTTGTATATTTTGGTGGACCCTAAAAACAAACAAAAGCAGCACACACGTAGAGTTAGTAATTCCTGTTATTTTCTTTTAGGGTGATGACAAAGAAAATACCTATAGCACCTACTGTGCCCTGAGTTAGCGATCTGATAGCTTTTTGTTTTAAAGGTTTTTATTGTGGATTGAATGAAAGTTTATAGGGCACATCATCAGTTTTATACTGAACAAATCATATACCTTGTTTCATTACAAGGATTATAATTCCCTCCATGTACCATAGTTAACAGTATTTCTCTCCATCAACTTTAGCTTTGTAAAAAAACAAACTGAAACAAAACAAACAACACTCAGGCATATATAGTCATTTACACCTCTAAAGGGCACATTCTACAAGTCAGCTTCCTGACCAGCAGCTCTTAGTCCCTCTCCTTCCATGAACCTAGAGTCCTCAGCCGCTACCCATCTCCATGACCCCATCTCTGCCTCAGTCTCTGATGTTGCTGCTTCTCTGGATAAGGTCCCGCATCCGCTTAAGTGCTTCTCCCTTGATGGTCCTAGGGTCCTCCGTTTCTGGACTGTAAGATTAGCCACTCCCATTTTTGTTACAAAATTTCTACCTTTACAATTCTGACAGTAGCAATGAGTCATGCTGACAAATTATTCATTACTGAATTATACAAATCGTATCCCCATCTCTTTCAATCAGACCCATCTAGACAAGGAGAAAACTATTCAATGAGGACTCTTTCTCCCTCCCCAGCCAACCTCCACACTCTTAAACTATAATCCCTCTAGAAAACTTGTAAGCCAGTCACTTTGTGCCTTTATTGCCCCCTCATTTTAGGTAGCCAATGTCTAAGTTGCCCGTCCCCATCTACCTACCCTACATACACAGGGAATAGCATTGAAACTTGACGTGAAGATTCCTTCCCTCTCTGTTGGTATTTAGAGTTACTACCTCCATGAGTATAGGTCAGGTTCCTCAAACTGTAGCAATTTACCCTTGTTTCCTTTATTAAAAAAAAAAAAATTTTTTTTTTGTTTAAATCTTCCTCTACTCTAATTGGTATCAGCTTGAAGACTAAGGTACACCTGACTTAACCTATGGTATTTTCAATAACGTCATACGCATGCAAAAGCTGGACAGTGATTAAGGAAGACTGTAGCAGAATTGTTGCTTTTGAGTTATGGTGTTGGAGAATATTGAAAGTACCATGGCCCACCAAAACAACCAACAGATCTGTGTTGGAAGACGTGCAGCCAGAGTGCTCCTTGGGAGGCCAGGATGGCTAAACTTGGTCACTCATACTACAGGAGGAACCAGTGGCTGGAGAAGGATATCATGTTTGGTAGGGTGGAGGGTCAGAGAAAAAGAGGAAGACCCCCAGCAAGATGGATTGGCCAAGTGGCAGCATCAATGTGCTCAAGCGTGGCAACAATAGTGAGGTTGGCACAGGAATGGGCAAGTGTTTTGTTCTGCTGTGCATAAGGTTGCTTTGAGTTGGTAATGGCACCTAACAACAACAGTTAAATTCTGATTATCAAGCCATCGAGGCTAGGTCAAATGGGTACTGTCTGCAAGTTTGGGTGTTCTTGTGCATCTCCCCTAACTTTGTATCAGCTGGATACTTCACTCTCAGCTCTAGCCCTCTGTGGCTATGTCCTTGTTCATGGGCTCAAGTGTCCCGATGTCTCACTACACTTTTGACCAACCAGCCCTTCCCCTTCTCCTTCCCATTTCCAGGTAACAGGAGTCAATGGACTGTTGTTAAACTCAGCCCATTTCTTCACTGCAGACTTTCCCCCTCTTTTCACTCACCAGTAGACCAATGTGGTCACCAGCAAGCTTACATGACTGATCATGTGCTCCCTTTGAGTTTGTCCTGAAGGAATTTGATTGCTTGTCTTGATGGTTTCCTGGAGAACAGCTTGCTTAGTCTTATACTAGCCAGTTATGCTGACATTTTTGTTTTGGGTTTTTTCCTGATGCTCTTTCTTTGAAGATGTATCTTCTGTTGCTCTAGCTGTTCTCGGTTGGTCTGCTTGTCCTTGCTAGTGGGAATGTGTCACCTCAGAAGGTTCTGGATGGAACTCAGGATCCCACCTAAGTTCCTATACTCTGCAAAGGCTTTGCAAGAGGCCTATTTCACTGGGCAAGTTCTAGAACCCCTTTTAGGTATTCCAATCAGTTATAGACTGAAGATGGGCTTACACATTTTCTCTAATCATGTTTCCCAACATTCCTTTTTATTCTACTCAAGTGTCTATTTTACAATAGTAGGCAAGGGAAACCAATACTCATAAGATAGTCAAGCATTTTAGTATTAATTCCTCTCTTCAAACTTTGCCTAGATCCCTGTATCACAGAGCCCTGTTGTTCCAAGGTTAAGCATTCATCACTATTTACATCTGTCCTACTTAGGCCATGCAAACCTCAGTGTTCCCCTATCTATCTTGTTCTTCCACCTCCACTCCCTTCTTGTATTTCCCTCCCCAACACCCAAACTAAACCCCTCACCCAACCCCACTGTTGTAGTTACCTTATATTCCATTAACTCTTCCCTCCATTGAAGACAGTCTATTTTATCCTGTAATCTACGTGACCCTGTCACCACCAGGATCTCTGTTCCTCTGTGTTTACCTTTTTTCACATTGTAATTGTTTTGATCATAGACTTACCTTCCAGATTCACAGTTCGTATAATTTTATTCTGTTCTTGACTCTTCCATTTGTCGACTGAGTTCAGGTTGATGCTACCATGCATGTACGTCATTCTGTAGTTGTTGTGTTTTCTTGGTTCTCAGTCCACCAAACTTCCTTTAGGATGTTTTTCATAGCAGGGTTGGCTTTAGCAAAATCCCTTAGCTTCTGTTTATCCTGGAATGTTTTGATTACACCATCATATTTGATTGACAGCTTTGCTGGGTAGAGGATTCTTGGGTGGCAGTTTT